GTCAAGAAATTCTACGCCGGTGCGTAAGGCTAAATTAAAAACTATAATCCAATGGATCCATATCTACTATAATGATATCAGTTATTTATTTGATGGATTCGATGCGAGCGAAGCCGCGGGTAAAAGCTAGTATAATATAAAACCGTTAAGGTTTTTCTTTGCCATTGTGCAGGCTCTGATTCTACCTTCACAATAAGCCATAAATAACTTATAGCTCGGTGTCCTCAGTCTATAAATACGCCCTCCATTAACCCATGGCTCCGGAATGAGGACAAATTGAGGCTGTTCCATTGCCACGCGGTTAATTAGGGCTGCTGAAGCTAGTTTGCTGGGATGAAGATTAATTTGGAGAAGACGCATTAACTATTGTTATATCTGCGTCTTCCTGAGAGTCGCTTAAAAGCTCTTTCTCAGTATACTAGTTTGAGAGTCTGGCAGCAAGCTCAGACCCGGAGGAAGAACACTCACCTTGCTCTATACTTTCCGCGTCGCTCGAGGACTCCATAGGATCTTCCTCCACTTCGCATATCTCTTTCTACGATGCCAGATGGTCTGCAGCATCGGCGTCCGACTTGTAGGGCGTTATCCTCACTTTCGTGAACCCATAGTTTATCTCCCCGCCACTTTTCCCAGCGGTTCGATGGATTCTTTCGTTAATAACAACAGGATCTGCCCTTTTGGTCTCCACGCCAGATCCTGCTACGCTGTCCTCAAATGTCTTGACGTACTTCCACCCTTCCGTGGGCAGGATCGGGTTGCAGGCTCTTATGAGTTGCATAATCTGGTCCGGCTGTGATGGTGTAGCCGGGATCCTCACCCTTGCCCTTGGTCTGGATGCTACCAATTTTGCGCCGGGGTATACCTCTCCCACCTTGGTTATAGCAGCTTTGTATGGAGCGACCGATCTCTCGTGGTCGCAAGCAATCATTTTGATGTGGTCCTGGTTCCAGCCGGCATCTGTGCATGACGGTGGCGGACTCGGATTACTTAGTAGCACTTCCAGCGCCATATTTTTCAGTGCAGCCTGCACCCATTTCCATTGGGCTCTGTCGATTCTTCCTTCGGGATCTCCCTCAACCAGAACGCCAATGACAATTCGGTTCCGGGCCACTTCTGCAAATGATTTTGCGGGTGTTACGCCCTTTGTCTTCGGCCTCATGGCTGACGTCTTAGCCTCTTCAGCTGACCTCTCGCGTAGTCAATCGATGCTTGGAGCTCCTTCGTTAGCTCCTCTTTCGTTGGCGCTTTAACTCTACTAACCTTAGTAGGTACGCGGCGCGTTATCTCTCCTCATACTTTGCTTTTGCCGGGTCCTGGATGTTAAATGCAGGCCACTCTTTGGCAGACCCACTTCCAGCAGCAGCCCCTTTGGCATCTTCCCTCTCCCCCTGTTTTGCTACCGTGTTTTGGCTACAGTGTTTGGGTATGGCTGCCTCCGGCGCTACTGCTTTTTTGGGGCCAGCTTCAGCTTCTCTCCCTTTTCTTGAGCTTGCCCTATCCTCGGGACCAAGCTTCGCTTCTGTCCTCTTGCTGAATGTTACCGAGCTCGCTCCAAACGCTGCTCTTTTTTGGGAGCAACTAGCCCCCTCCTGCTTTTTTGTGGAGATCCGGGCTCTCTCCTATTTTTGTTTTTATTTATTTTAGTTAGATGGTTCATAATTGGTCTCACGATTGTGGGGGAAAGTGTGCCCGCTTGCGTATAGCCCCCCCGCGCAAGTTAGGCTATCATATTACGGAGGGCGCCAGGTATACGTAAGCTCCATTCGAGACTGGGCTATTTAAGGACCCCCAGCTATAGCAGGCCGCATACACCTTGATCCAGCCCTTTATAGTACCCCCGACCATGGTAAGGCTCCTTATCTGTATGCTTTGCTATTGAGGAACACCGAACACACAGATATAAAGTCTGACCTTAGCTAGATTCCTTACGTCTACGGCAGGGGCAGACTGTTCCCAGCTCGTCTCCGCTTACGTCGTGAATCTGTGGTATCTTTTACCAGTCGGCACCCTCGAGGAGTGTTCAAGGGGGTGATTTCTGCCAACCAGGGGGGTATAAACTGATACCACTTTATTAGCAAAATAGTATCCTTTAATTTTATTGAGATATCTCAGAACAAAAAAAGGTTTGCGTTTAAGTGGATAAGTGGTTTTTCGGAAGCCCAATTATCGAAAATATATAAAAAGTAATGGTAAGTGTCGAGTATAACCGTCATGTAAACAATTTTTCGATTGCTCAGGTTCTTAACTTTGTACAATAAGTTTAATACAATAAGAAGCTCGATTTATAGGTGCCACATGAATAAACGAAAAAAATTCGTGAATCGAATTTTTGAAGCGAATTGTTACTGGTGATGAAAATTGGGTCATCGACGACTACGTCCAGTGAAAACGGTCGACGTGGAATTGGGGTGAGCCGGTGGTCAAGCTAGGATTGACGAGCAGGAGAGTTTTCTATGTATGTGTTTAGTGCGATTGGTACGGAATCATCTTTATTTGATTGAAAGTGGTGGATTAGTCGCTGAGACATATGATTTCACCTTAAGGTGGGCATTATCCATTTTAACACCTATTCCTATGAAGACCTTAATTAACATTTTTGATCTAAAATTGAATGATTCTGACTTATTTAGGGAGTTATTGCACTTTTAGTTGTTTGCATATAACCCTTAAATAGGGTGGGCGTGTTTTTCATCCAATTTCATCCATTTTTACACTGTATTAGTTTAGGTGATGCAAGTCAGTTATTTGCGCTTTAGCTTGTAACATAATCGTTACATCGAAATTGGAAAGTGGATATATTATCACTCGATTTCACATACAAGTACATAGTATGTGCATAGTTTAGAGGGCAATGTGTCCACCAATTTGTAATAAGTACAATTATAATAAATATCTATTTTGATAAGGTAGGTGTTACCAAAACCATTAGGGGAACAAAGGTCTTATATTTTGTGTAACATGTTGTCCACGTGATAATTCTATTTGAGTGCTAGAACGAGTATAATAGGCGTTAAATACTGGCAGTCGTATGAATACCATTCGGTCCAGAATGATCGCCCACCTATCAGTTAATTTCAAAAAATAGATGACAATCACATCTCAACAAATACAGAGACATACTCTGTATGCTGAACTGAGGAACGGCATTACATTATGTTATGAAACCAGTAAGTTTTTTATACTTAAAACCAGAAAATTAAATTTAATGTTGCACTTAAGGCGGAGTCTGAACGAACTTCATAAGTTATAATGCCACCTTCATCAATCAAAACTGGCATATGAAAACATCGGGCAAGTCAAACTTATGTCTAGAGACATGCATTTTAGGTAATTTTTAAAGTGTCGTAAAAATAAGCAATCATTATTTTTACTATTGATTTTTTATCAGTTATTTATTAATGCTGCAAGAGTACAGAATAAAATTTAAAAAAAAAGTTAAAAATTTAAAAAACTGGCAGCTGATGAAGTGGGGGGTCTTAGAAAATTGACACATGAACATACCCATGATTTCATCGACCCCTCCTAGTAATCTGAAAAAAAAAGATTATCAATCTGCAATGATGTCGCAATTGAATGAACTAGTGATAAGTAAAAAATACAATAAAATACAATTCAAAATCAACTTACAATATGCTAAGCCAATATGAATATATACGAAAAATAGGTAAAGTATAATATTGATCTGTATATATAATTAAAACATCGCCCTCCGGTTGTATTCGTTAGAGTTTAAAACAATGTTGTGAGAATAGATCTTACAAGTGGGTCGAGCCCTTCTTAAAAATTCTTAGTGTACGAATATGAGGGTAGCTGTCTTTCCGCTTAGCGTAGGTTTCCAAATCTGGGTACATCGCGGTTAGGGGAAAACGTTTCCCTATTTTATCGTTTTTGGAGAAGTGTTGCAGAGGATCTCACTGCAGGCATAATTAGATGAACACAGCAAAAACAATTAGTTTTTATATCACGATCATATCAATAAACCCAACCAAATCTATTGCACATATTTTAAAGTGTTACAATCAACATTTTGGAGAAAATACTATAAAACTTTTGTGAAACATGAGGTGATAATAACGTTTGAGTTTAAAAATTAATAAATTTAGAATACTGTTCGCGATCGCGATAAATACGAATTTAAACTGTTTTGTATTCGCCAACTACTTTGTATAACTAAAATCTCACTTAAGGGATTAGGGGTAGTCAGTGGAACGAAGAAATTAAAATTTTCAGTAATTTTTTTTTGCTATTAAATCATGTTATTTTACAAAAGTAGTAATATGGCATTATTATACAATGTTTTGACTTAAAGTCCCGAAAATTAAAAAAAAAAAATTAATTTCCAAATTATAGCTGTCTGTGTTGACCCCAGTTCCAAAAAAAAGGTCCTTGCGGTGACAACCATAAGGCCTTGGAGATTCATCTAAAATCAAACGGGTAAAAAAAAATTAGTTTATAAATAGATAATCTTGGGCCTGATCAAAGCTTTTTTTCAAAAATTAACAAAATGGCCTCAGGAAAAAGTCTTAAAAAATCGATATTTTTGAAAAAAAATCCTTCTATCAGGCCCGAGTTTATTATGTATTCTGAAAGCTATATAAATTTGATTAAAATCTACTGAGCGGTTTTCAAGTTACAGTTGTCACCAGTACAAAAAACATAGTTTTGAGAAAAACGGATTTAAACGCTGAATACCTGCTCCCGAGCGCATTGAAGTGCTTGAGCGCTCTTTGTTATTTGTCGAATAACTCAAAAAGTAATTATCGGATCAACTTGAAATTTCAGATAATGTTTTCAAGATATTACACTTAACGAAAATGCTTTTTGAAATTGATTTTTTGAAAACTCTGACTACCCCTAACCGTTAAACCTAGTACATATGCTTACTTACACTAAATAAACATTATTTTATATTTGCATTCATTTTTTTATTTTTATTTACTATTCTTTATCAACTACTTTTGCACGCTGTTCCACCTTCCATTGTGTGTTTTGATAATTAGGAGAAAAATGTGGAGTCAAACAACGTAGTTGAAGATGTGAGCACGGAGGTTGAAATAGAAGATTGCTCGGATAACAGCCAAAAAGTAGTTGTCGAATTGCCAACTCAGAACGAAATTCAAACCACAAAAGCTGAGACTAAATTGGTTGGCAAAAAAAAGCAAGATGAGACAGAAAGAATTGAGGTAGTTGACGAAAATAACACGGAAGGATATGATCATAGTCTTAGTAGTAATGATCTTTTGGAAACGGTGATTGTACCTGAAAAAGTCGTAGAAGATGACAGAGAAACAACCAATACTTCGCCCAAAACGACATTTACAGCACCTGTTGTAACTGAGCAACAGAATGTTACAGAATGCAAGTCAAAAGATAAAAATGAGATCGAAACTTTAAACAAGAAAATAGAGGGACAAGGTGATATCGGATGCGCAGTGGAAGGAGATAAGCCCGTGTTGGACGAAGATAATATAGTAGAAAACAAAGAAGTAAGAGTATTGTAACTACGAAAACATGTATTATAATTTTATTAAAAATGCACATTTTAAGGTTAAATTAAGTGAAAATGCTGAAACAGCCATAGCTCTGTTATCTGTAAAGCCGCAAAATTCGCAGGATCAAGTTGATACATTGCAACCAGGAAATCAGCTAAAAGCGGTATGTACTACTTAAAACTATATATTCATAAAATTCTATATTATAATAAGTCACCTTGAGTTGCCATCGAGGAAAGAAGTGGGGAAATTATTGATGCCAAATAATAGATAAGCAGTAGTTGACAGACCACGACCAGTAATCCCAAGTAGCTTTGAAATGGGACGTAGTCAAAAAAATATCTGTTAATTAATTTTTTGTTCTAAAATTGAATACCCAAACACTAAAATTAAGCAATTAATTTTCCTTTTTTTAAATTTCGGCGATGCTGCATTCTGTGGTCTCCTAATAGCAAGGCCATTCCAGCATTGCTACGCTTATAGGCTGTAATGACGCTATTCTTGTATATTATCATATAAGGCAGGTTATGTGAGGTTGTAATTGAGAATTATTAATTATTATGTATCTAGGGAAATTAAAACTTTCAGCCCGGTGAAGCCATTGCTTCCAATTGCATGTAACGGTACTTTTACTTGAGAACTTGGTTTTGAAAATTTGATGTCGTATGGTTGGACCACCCATGAATACTTCGTCTAACAAAAACACTAGTTGATTTTGAGGAACCATCAAATACGAGTAACATTAAGACTTATAAACGCAATAATATGGAAGAATACTTACAAATTGCGAAAGTATGAAACATTCGGCTGCACCCAAAATAAGCACTTCATTTCCTGTTTGTTATAAAATTTGTATTATATTATATTTGAATTTAACTTTACGTAAATTATTCAAAACCTTTTTCAGCTGAATTTTTCACCAGCATAATGATTCGCCATAGACAGAAACAGGTAGTAATCACTTGATGGCTGGTCTAAACTATAAGGTGGATGCATAAAAATATCCTAACTAAAATCCAGGAATTTCTGGCGAGTCACTAACCTCAAATGATATACATAAGTTATAAACTCAAACAAACAAAAGAGCTTCATTTAATAACCAGTATATCGACACTACTATTATAAAGAGGAAAGATTTGTGTGTATGTTTGTAATCAATTCACCATTGGAAAGCTACATTCACCCTGAGTAAGATAGCCTATACTTATTGCTTAGATTAGGGATCCTTACTAAAACTTAAGTAACGTAACCTAAGGTGTAAAAGAAGTGCCCTAAAACGACTTTCGTCACATTCTAAATAAATAATTAATTACTTGGATCATAACATGCTCAGTAATCGGGTTATAATAGCGGCCACAAAAGTAGATATTGACGAAATTTATGTCTAGATACAACCAGGGATGTAAATCAGGGATCTCCGATGTAAATTATAGAGAAGGTTCACAGTGCGGCCATTATCAAATATTTCACTTTTCGCAGGGGAACTGAAAACGATGAGCGTGGTTCATCCCTTTTGAGAGGGGTACTGAAAACGATGAGCGTGTTTCGCCACAATTAACATTAGGGAACTCGAGAATAGCAGAATTGAGCATATTCAGTGTTAATTAAGAAAAATAAGTGTAATTCCAATTTTAAGAAATGTGCGCTTACTGATTCCTTTATTTGCAATGCGCGGCTCTGAAAATAATTTATAGGTAATCTGTATTTATTTGATATCAAGCTCATAAGTATATATATATTTGTATATATGTATGTTCAAATTAAAATATTATATAATATTATATGAAAGATTAATATATATAGGTTTTATAAATAATACATTTATATATTTATTTGCTTTGGCCATTAAAAGTTTTGATAACATCTGAAAGGACCAAGCGGTCGCACATATACTCGTACATATACAAGGTACAATTCAAAAGTTCCAGGACTTTTTAAACAACGCGGCTTCTAGTGGTGCCATCTGTCTGAAATTGTTATCCCTCAATTGTGTATTCTTCAGTGTTGTCGTATAAAATTTATATAACAGCTGAGATATCGCGCTACATGTGACATTACATTTGTAGTGTCGGTCGAAAAATGAGCATAGAACAAAGAGCAAACATTAAGTTTTGTTTTAAACTTGGTAAAACTTTTACCAAAACTCATCAAATGGTGAAACAAGTTTATGGCGATGATTTTCTATCCCGTAGCCGTATTCACGAGTGGTTTAAACGTTTTCAAGAGGGACGGGACGACAAGCGTTCGGGCCGGCCAAAAGATGTTGTGAACGAAAAAAATACGGAAATTGTGCGTGAATTCATTAAAAAAAAGAGCCGAAATCATCGCTTAAATATATGGAATCGGAATTATCAATATCCGCAGCGTCGATTTATCGTATTTTGACATAAAATTTGGGCCTCAGAAAGGTTTGTGCTCGATTTGTCCCACACACTTTGAAACAACACGAAAAAGACCTCAGAATTCAACATTCAGGAGACATTATTAAAGAGGCCAAAAAGGACCCAAACTTTATGTATTCGATTGTGACTGGTGACGAAACATGGCGCTTTGAATATGAGCCCGAAACCAAGCGAAAGGAAACCGCTATGCTGACGTTGATGCCATCCAAAAGGCGACGACCGCCATCCTCAACGCTATACCGACAAATGACCTAAAACAGTCATTCGATAACCTTCTTGAACGTGCAAAACGTTGTATTCAGGCGGAAGGAGACTATTTTGAAGGCGACCAATAAATTTTTCAAAAAAATAAAAAATTATATTCGTTTTTTAATAAAAGTCCTGAAACTTTTGAATTGCACCTTGTATAAGTATGTGTGCGTTTAAACAAATATCAAAGAAACATACATTGACAAATATTTTAAATCGATAAGAGCTATGTTACCACTTTGGCACTTTTTTCTGTGTTTTGCGGGTTTGTGGGGTTGTCACTTATCATTTCTAGAACGAGCATCAGAAGTTGTTCAATTTATGATTTTTAGCTGTTGCCAGCGTCGCGAACTGACCCGAATATGTCTTTGCCCATATATTCGGATATATGGATGTGATGGTGTCTGTTTTTTTGTGAATGAAGCGAAGTTGTCTGTAGCGTTCATGACAGAAAATGTAGTTGTGGTGTGATTTACTATAAATTTTACTTGAGCAATTCGGATGCCATATTGACTTCTGATGCTGCTTATGCCATTTGAGACGATTGTTGTTTTTGTAGATGACAAACTTACACGTGTACGCGTATATGCATGCAGGTTTGTGTATGAATTTTTGGCGTGGCATGTCATACGTACGCGCACACGTTATTACTGATAAGTGATAAGATCGAGATTTGAATGAGTACTTTTACAATGTACAGCATAAGTGAAGTAAGGGTTGGTAATTTCCACTGTTTTTGATAATATTACTAATGAAAATAAATTGTTAGCATTTCTTTATTTAGTTATTTATTTATCTTATAAGAAACAAAAATCACACAATGGGGAGCACAAATGCCTACAAGTTTGTGCATCGTGTATTTCTTTCAGCATAAGAATAGTAGTAGCAAAGAAAAGTTAAAAATATTTTTCCCCTTTAGTTCATGTTCAATTATAAATAAAATTGTTAATAATACAAGAAAGAAAATAACAAGTTCTAAGGAATAAACAAATAAAACTGAAACATCTCGCATGTACTCAATTTTTCACGTTACAGAAATTTTCAGAAAATAGATAATTTCTAATATTAAGTACATAACCCTTTATTACACAAAACACTTTTTTACATGGTTTGGCATACTTTCCACCAAATTCTGTATAATTTCTATTGGAATGCTATGATATTCCCGCTGCCAAAGCTCATCCAGATTGATTGAGGTTGATCGGTATTTTCCTAACCTTCTTTTCATGATTGACTACAAATTCTCAATCGGATTGAAATTAGAACTTTGGGCTGCCCACTGAATCAGTAAAAAATATTTATCGGTAAGCCATTAGTTCACGATTTTGAAGGTATGGGTTGCCATCCGGCTTAAATTTTACTTCTTCTTTAAAATATATATGTGGATGATACATGCTTATGTATATAAGTCAATTTTAAATGGTGAAAGGTAGGATTTAAATTAATTACTATTGTAATATATTATATTAAGTTTATAGTATATTATGATAGTATGTTATGTATATAGTATTCATATCGCATGTATGAATAAACATATATGAAAGTATATTATATTATCAAACATAAGAAATATATAAAAAGTAGGTACCATTTGCGCATTAACTACAATTATTACTATTTTATAATCAATCGCTAATTTTGTTGACGGAAATGAAAATCCTCGGTTAAAAATTAGTTCACCTATTATTCTTTAGAGTAATTTAAATCCAACTCGAACATTACAAGCGATTACAGGAATTTTTATTGAAGCACACATTATGACTGGAAAATCTAATTGAAAAATGGTCCTATTGTCACGAAAATGAAAACAAAATCAACAAGAAAGAAGTGTAAAAAATAAACGGACGTACATTTTTCAAATGGCGTTAAATTTATTGTGAAAATTTTAAATATAAAAGGTGTAAATTTTGATTATAAATAACTCAGATTATGAAGAATAAATGTAAATATGATTATAAATTGGCTATTAAAAAAATTGCTATCAGATTTCAAAGTCATTGAAATAAATCCCCATTATTAACCCATATAAAAAATATAATTAAAGTTCAATATGTTTATTGGCCACGTCGTTCAATTTCAGACATTTGCTTTTTTAGTTCTAATGTTGCAAATTTTAATTTTGTTTTTTCAAAAACAATTCTTTTAAGTGTTCGAATTTTTCAACAGCTAATTTATATTTCCTTTTCCCCAATTTATGTTCTTTTTGCATTCATTTTGAAACTACCGTTAGGTTTTCATCTTGCTCTAATAAAGAAATTATTTCAGTAAATTTAAACTATTGTAAAAACACAATAATCGTTAAACGCACAAGTTTGTGACTTGCATATGCAATACAGAGTGCTGCCATTGCAAAGGGTAAAAACGCATACACTACACGCAATTTCCAATGCGCTTATCGCCTTACAGAGTTGCATTTTCACGATAGCGATCATTCTTCCTTCCGAAAAGCCTTATCGAGTAACCCCCAAGGGTATTGACTGGTAGAAACAGTATAAGTTAAACATAAGAGTATGCTATTTTCAGGAAAAGATTATTTCCGAATTTCAATAATATTTCTTAGAGATTTATCAATATCTTCGGTTTTATAGGTTTCTAGCAACTTGAATAGTTATTAGTGTGGGTCAAAAAAAACGAATTTGTTTTTTTTTTGCTTGATAAGAGACCAGAGATGTATAGAGCAATAAATTTCCAACAAAGACTATTAGCTTTGCAATTTAAAATTATTTTTTTTTTCATTGTTTTCGTATTCCGTAAATATCTTTTTAACGGTTAGGTTTACGAAAAAAACGTATTTGACATTTTTATAGATCATTCAATTGCCTACAAAACCTATGAAACAATTTTTTTCGAGTAGTTGGAAGCGAGATATGAATTTTTCCATCTATTAATAAGAAAAAAATTAAATACTCTAAGGCGGAGGATCTCCCGTTACTCACTGAGATCCACGTATTTGGTATCTGAGAACCTGAGAAGTTGTGGCTCGATTTCGACTTTTAAACTTGAGATGGCATACCTTAGAGGCATTATTTGTGGAAAGTTTCGTCCTTATAACTTGATTGGTGCTGGAGGAACGAACATAATATTCGTTGAAATACGTGTAAAGTAATTTGTAGAATTTAAGATATGCTTACCTGTCAACAGGATAAAATGATAGCAATTTGTTTTCAATACTGAAAACTTTATCAAAATTAAATTCTTTTTCGTGATTTTAAAAATAAAACTTTTTCTTTTAAACAGGAAAATTGGAATAATACTATTAAGGATATCATTTCGGACATCGATTTAAATATAGAGCAGGAAAACTGTGATTTACTTAAGCAACAGCAAAAGGAATTACTCCAAAGACAACAAGAGCTTGTCGAACAAATACAACAACAACAATTAATTGCTCAACAGTTAGCCGCTGAAAATCAGCTTCACCAACAGCAATTGGAACAGCGGGAAAAACTGAAGTCTGCCACACAACAGGAGACACAAAAAATTACAAGTACGCCCAATCAAAAGCCTACACCAACACCATCTCTGCTTCAGGAAAACATTTCTAAATATTCGACAGTCGAGGAAAAGAAAGACGAATTTGGCTACACACAAAATACAGAAACATACGAATATAAGGTAAGGTCTTTTTTACAATTTATATTTCATATTTAGTGTAGCGCATTAGAGAGACTTTTGTTCTAATCCTACAAGCTGAGTACATATGCATTTTTCAGGAACAGAAACCTCTTTGAAATAACACGATTGCTTACATATTCATATTTAGTACCTACAAAAGTGTACACAAATATATTGAATAAGTTGGGTTCGTGTGAGTAAAACGCATAATTCTGTGTAAACATATTAATATCTATCCTAACCTAAATTGTGTTCCGTCTGATTTGTGCATCAATAATATTTCTGGTGTTTATGTGAAGACTAGTAGTCTTAAGAACTAGTATTATAAATAAGATGTACTAACAGCAATACCCTAAGGATACGTCCATAGATAAATATCCTACAAACTGCACTCTGGGCTTCAGGAAAAATACAACAAATAAGAGACCTCTAACTAAAAGTCAGCCAAACATTTTATATTCCTTATTTGGCCTAATTGAAAATATATCGGTATCTTATTAACTCAACATATGGGTCTTGGATTCACTTAACTTCTTATTACAATTTCTTTAATATTATAAATACTAATGAACACGAACCAATATGTTCATCATATTAGCGCTATGGGAAAATAGTTACTAATATTATATCACAAGTTTTTACCATCGATTGACGTAGGGCTGACTTCAAGTATCAATACAGTATGGCAAAAGTATTTATGCATCGTCGGTATGCAAGAACACTTTTACTGCAAAGTTTACTTTCGCAAAAAGCTGTTTTGTTTTTGCGAGCGTAAAAAGATAAAACATTTTAAAATTAAAACCAAATAGTTTAATTATAAATAATGTCTTTTCTTCATCGAAAATACAAGAACAACATCATTAAAATATTAGGTCAAGTAAAACGTTCGTTCGGTTTATATCTAAGAGATGGCGTTATTGTCCATAGTACTAGTGTTACGTGTCGCATCATGTCATACTATACGGCGCTGAAAACGTGTTTATTCGCGCTCAAAGTTTGTCTTTATCAGCTTTTCGATTGATTGACTCAGTACGTTGTGAGCGCTCGTCAACGACTCATCCAGAAGAGGCCATCTTTGATCAGCAGAGGCCGAATTGTGTTCCATCAGGACAACGCCAGGCCACACACGTCTTTGGTGACGCGCCAGAAGCTCCGGGAGCTCGGATGGGAGGTCCTAATGCACCCACCTTATAGTCCGGATCTGGCACCAAGTGATTACCATCTTTTCCTGTCCATGGCGAACGGTGAGAAGTTGGCCTCAAGAGAGGCCTGTGAAAATTGGCTCTCCGAGTTTTTTGCCAATAGGGACGCAGCCTTCTACGAGAGGGGTAAAATGAAATTCGCATCTCGTTGGCACCAAGTTTACGAACAAAACGGCGCATATTTGACTTAAATCGGACAAATGTACACAAAGTGATCATCTTTTGAAAAATTAACTTCTTACTTGACCAATATGTTTCACCAGCATCACTTTTGTACTTTTGTACTTTTGTACCTAGCTGAAAATTTTTTTTGCCATACACGTTATTTTTAAGAAACATTTTTTTAGGAAATGGTTATAAAAATAACAAAATTATAATGTGTTAACATAAATTATAGACGTAAGTATAATTGAAAAGGGGCTGAAAAGTTGTGGACAACTAAAGTATACTTTATTTAAGTTAATAAATTATTCTTTACTAAAAAAACAAAAATATATTAAACTAGAGGACCCCGTCCACGCGTTGCTGTGGCTAAGGTATACATTAATTACGTACTATTCAATACAGTAAAATTGTATTTATGAAATAAAACGAAAACGTTAATTCCAATGTAAGAATAACCAAGCAGATCACTTCCAAAGTTGAAAATGATTAATACTAATTTCCTTCGATTTGTTATTAAACACAAATAAACATAAAATATAATATGTTGATTTTTTAATTTTATTAACTTTATATTCAAGTATGAAACAAATGAGTAATTTTCAAAGTTTTTAGTAGATAACGTTTGAAATAACACAGAGGTTGATCGTTCTTAATTTTTAACAATAATATTTATAGTTTTTAATTAAAAACATTTCCAAATTCAATTAATTAATCTCTATTTGTATCGTACGTTCTGACAGTTGGAAAACGTGGCAAGAGGACATTTCTCCATTAAATTTTCCAGTGAAAATAGTTGCTACAATAATATTTCTTGTAATATTTTTGATTATCAAAGGTTTTGATTAACAAACACTTATTAGCAAACAACAAACTTCTTAGTCTTTAAAACAAAACAAACTTTATCAAAAACTTAATTAAATTAAAATTTTTGTTAGCGCTATGTTAGGTTATGTGTGTCAGATTACTACAGATTACTAAATAGGTTATGCGAAATTTGTATACTGCGTTCTGAAATTTAACTCATAGTATACATATTTCATTATTATTAAATACTTACATTAAGATGAAATCATCACTGGTATTATTAATATAACCATCAAAGTCAGTACATTTAATTGTGGCGAGTAATTTTCAAATATTAGTAAATTAGTCCGACAGAATTTAATTAAGTAACCTTATATGACATTTGTTAATAATAATAGAAAACTAAAAATAAAAAACAGCCATATCGGTCGATCCGTTCCCAAGTTATGGCGTGGAAACGGGTTTCATTTTTATATACATATATATATTACTTGATAGCAATCTGTACATCGAAATACCTATATCACTTATCCTAATAAAAGATATTTTAATTAAATTAAGCTAGAATATTTTTATTGGTATTATGGTCATTTGGTAACCAAAATTATGGATATCGGTATATACACTACCACTCATAAAAAAGGCGATTTGGCTTTGTAATGTTTACATGGTATCTCTTAGTAAAAATTAATTAATTTTTTTTAAATTCGTTTAAATAAAAGGTTTAATGAGCTCTTTAAGCCGTTTAAATCATGTTATCGCTTTAAATAATTGAGTATTAGCTAAAATGCGCAGTAAAAACCTTAGTTTTCTATGATATGCAATATGGAATTTGGACAAAAAACAAGTATTTAAGCGACAAAAGGGGGCATAATACTTTTTAAGTATTTTTCTAATATTTTGATTAGAGAAAAAATGTACATTGTTCTTAATAGTGGGTGTTATCGCCTTTTGCCTTTATAACACTTTGTAGCTGGGTGGGCATGCTTTTGTATAATATTTTGATTAAGCCTGAAGAAATTTCATTATCTCAAGTCAATTCAACAATGTCCTTAAATTTTTGAATGTTATTTGGCGTTGAGTTTCGTGATTTATAATTGCTCACACGTACTAAATATGGTTGGGATCAGGGCTATTTCCAGGCTTGGAAGAGACTCAATCCCCAAAATATCTTTATATTCGTTAACCTACGCAAAGTAAAAAGTTTATTTGTAATAATTTGTGTGTGAATGTAACTTAAAAAAAAATTACACTGCCCAACAGCATTTTTGAGCATGGGTCATAAATTTCTTTTTTGTTGATTTTATACCGCAAAATAAGAATGATAGTAAAAAAGTTTTGCATTTGCTTTTATGTATAAAAAATGGAAAAATTTAACTCAATAAAAAAGCACCAAAATTTTACATATAAATACAGTTTTACTTTTCCCGTCATGTTCCGTAAAAATTCTTTTATTAACCCTCAAATATCTATAGTCCCCAATACTGAATCTTGATGAAAGTGTTCTCCTCGTTTTAACAAATAAGCTAACATATAATCCTTAAATTTATCTAAATTAGAATGTAACATGTGCATCTTTAGAGATATTTTAATGGTGATGACCAAGGAAACCATGCTCTACTGCCTTATTGGGAAAATATCACAATCCATAATTTTATTCATTTGAGAGTTTACAAAGATTGGTTCCCTTCAAATTCGGCACTACGGACTTCATTGCTCTTTTTCACCTCGGTACCAGCCTATAATAAAACCTAACATATTATAAGTTAATTAATGTTATCAAAATGGTTAATAATTATAATAAACAAGCAAGGAAGGGCTAAGTTCGGATGTAACCGAACATTTTATACTCTCGCAGAGTCAAATGGTATACTCGGTGTCATCCGATTTTACCCATTTTCACACAAAGTTTTTAGTTTTAGGTGATACAAACAACCGTTAGGTAAACAAAACTATTATACTCTGTAGCAACAAGTTGTGAGAGTATAAAAAGGGGAAATAAACTCACCAAGTTACATAACACGTGTGGAGCCCAATTTTTGCCAGGTAGATTAAAGTACTTGATATGCTTTGAAAATCTTTAAATTTTTACTTTAATCATACTTTTTATCTCTCCTTTGAATAAATTTGCTGCAAATATCGCAAAACGAGTCAGCATTTCGTTTACAACTTCTCGAATATATTTTGTATCTCTCGTGCTTTTCCCTGTTTTTGGCGGCAAGATTCCGCGAAGACCGACATTATATGGGCGCGAAAATCAAAAATGGACGAATCGCTATAATTGCTTAAAAAGCAAATATTTACGATTAGTAATCGTCTTTTCCCATATATATGAATATGCTTATATAACCAGAATATATTCAGCAAAACACATACTAAAAACAACAAAAAAAACCTGTGACCTGTGTTATTTATGAAAGAAAATGTTAATGTTGTCCTTAAAGACTTAGAGCGATGACACGGTGCAGATTTGTCTTGAAAAATTACTATTCCGACGTGCTCAGCTAAAGTCTTGTTGGTAGGTACCTTTTTTTATTTTTTCTGTTATGTTGCTGAGCTTACAGTACCATCTAATATTATTATTTCGCCAACTCCATAACTTGTGATTGGTCACCAAACGATAACAAATATAGAATACTTTACAGTACTCTGAAAACATTGATCATTTTATCGTTCATTGAATCTGCGTCTGAAAAAGCAATTCAAGCCCATTTTTCTCAACTCTTCGGACTTTCAAATTATTTTCTTTCAAATTATTTTCTTACAACCGACGTTTGACAGTTGAGCTGCTGAATTCTATTTGGCGAGCATCTTTAAGCTCCGCAGCAG